CGATCAGTAAGAAGTCGGAGATAGCCAGATTCTTACTTATGGATTCTAATCTAGACTCCACGTTGACGACATCCCCGATTTCCTATTTAAGACGTTGATATCATAACGTGAAGTCTGTGTCGGTATTAAATCGATACTTCGCCAGTGTCCAGTATTCTTCGAATACGCATGATTCCTGACGTAGGAAGTCGTTCTCGCGCGCGTTTTAAGGTGTCATACCGAATCGTCGTCGGGATGGCCGTCGATGCAACCGCGTTATTGTACTTTATGACGGTGTCTATTACTTCAATCGATCGTTGGCAGGAGAGAATAAGCGGCCGTCGCGATTGTAATTTGTGGCCACGCGATGGATACCAGCCCGACATTACCCCACGCAACAATGCCGGGGCGACAATGTCGCAATGATTATTCTGTTACACGCGCGCGCGAACGCACTCTCGCAATTATGTCCCTGTGGAAGGCGGCGAGCTGGAGTCGCGGGCCGCGTGAAATATACGAAAGTCCCAGCATACGCACACACGTGCACACGTGGCCATCTCGCGCGAGATCGCTCGAGGACAAATGAGCGAATGCATTATTGATGGCATGGTGGTTAGATACATTGCTCGGATTACACGGCGATTAATGTCAATGAAATTTTGATTTATGGAAGTTATCGCGCGCGCTCTCTCCGTGAGCGAGCCCAACCTTACGATATCCACCGTCTCCGTGGCGGGTTCTCTCCTTCTCATCAAGATCCGCGCGATCGCCGGGATTTCGCGCGAGGATCATCGGAGGAGACCCTACCGTGTCCTCGCTTTATCGGCCGGAGACTTAGAGCACACATCCTCTGACCATAGTAGGTGGGACGGTCCTCCGATGGTGCACACGAGACCATAAATCAGGCCGCGAACTCGCCACAGCGAGCATTCCATCGACAGCTCGGCGAGACAACAGCGGGGCCCACGGGATCCCACATTAAAACCGTAGCAACCCTCCATCGAAGAAATCACCGACCATTTTCGGACGTTGGACGACCTCCGAACGCCGGCGTTACCATCTAGGGACGCCGTTGCCTCGCGAGCCGGATGTCGCCCGAACCGTATCTTATCTTCGCCGTGATGGATCATCATCCGCATCTACCACCTTGGTGGAACTTGAACCTCGTCGGTGTCTAATCACGAAGTAGTCAATTCGTGTAACCTCGCCTTAATTAGCTAATAATGTAACGCTCACACCTCACTTACTGGTCAGATAACGGGCCTAAATAAATCAATTAGCTGGAGGTTAAATAAATCTTCGTAACTTCCACATTCGTCCCGACTTTTTATCCTCGTGACTTCGATATTCGCTACGATTGAATGAAAATAAAAAAAAAAAAAACGCACTTAAGACTCGCGCGAAACGCTGTTACGTATCATCGGCCGAGACAAAAGGTCCAAATCGCACGCTCGTCGGCCGACTTGCGGCTAGTGAGAAGAAGCGAGAAGCCATCGAAGGGAACCGGCCAAGTGAAAATTGAAGCAGCCGTTTGGCGAACCGCACCGGACTTCGTACCAGTGCGCTCGGCGCGTTCGTTTTTCCCCGGCGAACGTTAACATTCGTCATGCGCTCCCGCGCCGATCCGGTATAGGGCTTTCAGACGGTGAAGTCGTATCGGCAATGAGACGAGCACGCTCCCCCCCCTCTCTCTCTCTCTCTGTCTCTTCCTCTCTATCTCTCCGCGACTTTACCTCGCTGAATTGCTTTCCCTTTTAGCGGCACGAACTTTTTGCGAGATTGTCACCGAGATGCAAGGTACCGCACATCTCAGCCTAGTTTGGACACGCTAACCTCGCCGCATACAAATTTCCCACTAGCCCGTTGTTCTCCTTACCGAGATCGCCTCTTTCTTCGTTCAGCGTTTTTCCGACGCCACATTCCGCCTCTCCCTCGGCTGATGATCATTTCGCATTAATGAGTCATCGTCGCCTGCACTGGGACGCGAATCGGTCCGATGGGTCGCGTTCGTTACGTAACAGACGAAAAGGATGAAACTTACCGCGATCATCTGCACAGTCAGCGTCATGTATGCTGTACCTAGTGTTCTAAATAGGTACTGAAAGTACCTATTTCCTAGACGAAAGAGTCGCGCAATTTTCAGCTTTACATACAGAGAAAAAGGTTCCTTTCGATTTTGTATACGTGTTCGTTTGACTCTGATTTGTTTAATATAAACAACATAGTTTAATGCCAAATATCATTTTGTTTGAATGAAAATGTTGTTTCACTAAAATAAGCCATGTTTAATGCTGTTGTCATGTTGTTTTGATGGAAAAAGCAGTGTTATTTAGAAGAAATAACATATTTCGTTTTCAACAGAACAATTATTTATTTATTTATTTCATTATATATCAAATATTGTTCCACTGAAACAGAAAAGAAGTTTTTAAATTTCTCTAACATAGTGTTACTTCTTTCAAATAATTTGTTGCTTGTGACAACTATTGTAATGTTTGAATAAAAATAGAAAAGAGATGTGTCATTTGACGTAAAGATATCTATTGTTCGAAAAACCGAACAATTTTGTTTGTTGAATCAAAAATTCATTTGTTTGCTTCCATTCCAAAAGACAAATTTGCCTCAACTAAAGAAGTTTTATCAAATCAAGAGAAATTTTTTTCTCTATGCACATTACGCATTAGGTTGAAGATCGCGGAAGTAGCTCTAGTTAGTAACGATAGGGTTGTAATGGTTCTAATAATTTCAACTTTGTGTGTACATGCGAGAGATTAAAAATTGTGTAATAATAAAAAATTTCAATCTGGAAGGACGGATATAACATACATGACGGCCACTGTACCTTGATCAGATCGCGTCGTTATCAATTTTCCTTTACCGCGTAATAACACTGAGAAGCCAAAGGCCTTCTGCGAAAAACGAAACGAAATAACGGACGGTGCCTCTAAGTGCGCGAAATCGATACGACCGGTAATTGACTCGAAGTCCTCGGGATGAGCGCGGAAAGCTCGCTCGCTCGAGCATATCGGCCGAGGATCGCCGCGACATTCCGATCACTAAAGATCATTCGCCGTGGCGATCTGCAGATTCGTTTTGCATATTTCGGCTAATTACCGAGTGAATCGGGGAAGCGCGGCTCGGCGGAGAAGTCAAGTCCGAGAGAACCTGTCCGCGCGCATACGTAAGTTCCTACGGGAGTTCGCAGGCGAGACATCGTCAGCTCGGAGTTTCGAGAACTCGTCGTCGGCTTACGAAAAACGCGCGCTTTCCAATCGTTCATAGTCTCTGTCTTCCGCATATCGGCCGCTGGTAATGATTCTTTAAGGTCTCTTAAGGGGACGCTATACTCGAAAAGTTTGCTGGTGAAATGCTGATTCCTTTCTACAATGTTTACGTTGTGCATAGAATTATAAATACTTTTACACGGTGAAAGTACGCCCGAAAATGATGAATACTTTTATATGGTGAAAGTATGCCGCGAAAATGAATCGAAGCGTTGCTCAATGCGCGGAGAAACGATTCAAAATTGAAAGATTAACATCTCCAGCTGTCAGTTAGCGTAAATATTTAGCCGACACAGAAATCTGGCAGCTTGTATATGCCGAGAGTGTCAATGCTTTAGTCGGAAAAATTTCGAAGAATATTTTTATTCCTTTTTAATTAAACTTTGGGACCTAAAGCGACGCGAAAAGTTTGCGGAAAAATTCCGATATATCTCAGTGAAATTTTCCTTTAGACGTCATAAAACAAAGTAGTGCATATTTATCGCACTCGCATTTACATCGTACTTAGATTCACGTAAGATTTACATGTAAGACCTCTATAAGAGGTACAAGAAAAGTAGCGTGATCGTGCTAGCGCTTACATAATGTAATCTTTTGAGGATCATTTCTACGTTATCGACGCTTGTCAAGCTCGTCATCGATTATGGCATCCCTTTGATCGCTTGTTTCGACGTTTCATCAAGGAGGATTCGTCGGCGACTACCGTGGAATTGTTTCTGCGCTCGTGGAGAACAAAATACGTAGCGAAACTCTTTCTCTCTCCTGTCGCGCGCGGTGCGACGGTGAATTTCCGCGAGGTAATCAACCCCGACGTGTGTGGTAATCGAGTTTTGCGTCATTGTCATCGCGGACAATACCGCGACGGTAGGCCGTTAAAAGGGCGCTTCTCGAATACCGTTTTGGTCGTGCTTGAATCCAGTAATGAATCACCGCAGCTGCGAACGATAACTATTGTTCGGTGAGCCCGTCGCGAGCGAGCCGGCGAACGTTCTGGAAAGCTTCGAGAAGGCGCGACAGCGAAATGATAGTAATTTCATATACCCACGTATCGTCGACACGGTGACATCGCGTAACGCATGATTAGCGCCGACGATGGTTACGTGGCGATGCCATTACCAGCGGGCAAATTGAGTTTAATGTCGCGAACTGGGCGTTACAGCCTTGAGCCGCACGATGAAATTAGAGCTAGTCAGGCCGTATTTATTGAACAGTGCTTCGGCCTAGGACCAGGACGTTTTAAGGCGATCGTATCGGCGTGCACACGCGGATCCGGTAAAGCGACAATGACTCTGACAAACGAGCTCTTAATCGTGTTGATAGTTGAGATAGAATTTAACCGATACAGACCCGCGATATCGTACAACGATTAATTACCGGCTAAATACACGGTCGGTGGAACCGGCTCTAAACGAATCAAAGAACTCGACGAAAAATAAAAATCCAGAAGAAAGGAATTAGCCTGTCCATATAATACAAGTGGAATTTAGTTACCAACCGGACTTAGTCTTTAGCTGCGGGAGCTAAAAACTAAGGGTACAGAGACCAAATATTAGCCGGATTAATTAAATTTCAGTTGTATCGCAGGGACAGTTAATTTTCGCCCGTGGTGAGTTTTCAGCTAATTCCTCACCTCCGTGTAGAAACAAAATTGAAACTAACACCCTTGTCCAATGTCTAATGGATCCTAAGTGTTGTAAGATTTTATTTTGTTAATTGTGCTTTGAAAAATGTCCGTAGAATGAGAACAACACGTTCGTCTTCGGGGTGAAGGCCGACACAGGTTGCCTCCGTTTGGTCGATCGACTGTCTGCCGTGAAGCATTTACCAAAGAATAGTAAGTCTGTTTCTTCGCTCGAGCTAAACTTCGATCGAGAGAGGACTTTACCAACGTTCCCGATTACTTTGCAGGAGCGGCGAAGCCGTCACACTTCACGGGCTGGAGTGAGTGGTCGGTGTGCGACCGGCATTGCACGCAGAACCGCGTCAAGAGGTGCCGGTCGAGGGAAGTTTGCGGAACTACTGTACTTAGGGTAAGTGCGCGAAACACCAAATTATATTGCGAGTGATTTCCCAATCGTCGCTCATCTCGGCACAGGAGGAGCGCGGCTGCGAGCACAACAGGGAGGGACGACGAAGACGGTGCAAGCAACGCCAACGTTGGGGACATCGACGAAGGGACGAGAGGTTCCACGTCGTCCAAGTGAGTCGCGATGAGCGATTGTGCAGCTGCTGACGCATGAGATTTTTCACAACATACTCATAAATTCAGTTGTCTTTAACAAAAAAAGAAAATATCCGACATTTTTTTAATGAAATCTTTTACACCGGAAGTATCGTACTCTTTAAGTTTTTTAGAGTGAAATTTCTCTCTTACTAAAAACAAATGAAAATTCGCTCGAAGCGACAGCGAAAATACCTGCCGCTCGAAATCAGAAGAGTGAACGTTCAATTCAAACTATAGAATGAGCTTTTAATTTACACGAGTGAATCTTTCTCTCTCCCTCAATCAAAGCGGATTTTTCACTTTTTATTCCGGTGACGGTGGAGCAATCAGATTTACTCTTCGAAGAATTCGAAATTTCTTAAGAAGAAAATGCGCTACACAAGAACGAAAAACACGAAAAAACTTAGAGAGTATTTAGAAAGAAACTATCTCTCTCCCCCTCTTTTTCTCTCTCTATCTTTCTGTCTCTCTTATCTGTAAAACAATTGAATTTACAAAGATTCTTCGACGCGCTCTCAGCAGGTACCGAAGGAAGCGGAGCCCAGACAAGGCAAACGCAGGGGGAAGGACACCAAGGAGCACCCCGGAGGTTTTTACGGAAAATGGAGCAAGTGGTCACCGTGTACAAGATTGTGCACCACGCAACGTCACAGGTATTCGCACAACCCGAGTCGACATTTTGGCGCTACGTTAATCCTTTAACTCTACAACACAGTAGGAGCTGAGATAGCGAAGTAGAGGTTCGATTTCAATTCTAAAAATATCATTTATTCCTACTTTGATCCTGACGATGTTTCAAATTTCCGTTTTCGCTATTTTAATCAAAATATCTTGTTCCAAGTAGCAAGATTAGATTTGTCGAATAAAAGGCTCAAGAGAGAAGTTAATAAATGTGAATATTGTCAAAATGGGGTTTTATCAGACCATAAATCATCTAAGTAGGCGCGAACTATCCTTATAAGCGCCGAAGTACCATCGGAATTTCAAGACGCGTCCGTCCACTTCAATTAGATGGTGCAGAAAGCCCGGTATCTGCGGCCGCGACGTCATACGGGAGAGCGCCTACTGCTACGTCGAGGGTAGCTTCTGCCAGAAATGGATCCATCGGAAGATTCGCGGCAGCCACGAGGAGGACGGCGACGGTGAGTAAATTCGAATCGCACAACGATCAGAGCGATCGGACAAACGAGCTTGCCGGTGTCACACGGTGCGATTTTCCAGACTCGGTGTTGGACGAGTTCGAGCTCAATCCCAACACCGTGGACGGCTTCGCGCCGGAGAAGAACCCGAACATTTGGAAATGCGGGGTGACGAATTCGCATAAAGGTTCCCGATTGTCGTACTTCACCCGAATCATCGGCGGTCGCCCGACTACGCCTGGGAGCTGGCCGTGGCAAGTGGCTGTGTTAAATCGATTTCGGGTGCGTTCAGTAGAGTGTGGATGTTATACCGACGGTTATGAACGAAACAAGTGACGTAAAATTACGGTCTGACGGTCGTTGCCAGATCGAAAAATAAGGGCTTCGGAGTGTCTTCGCTCTCTAAATTTCATGGCGTGAAATTCCACTCGAAAAGTAGAGCGATGGTCGGTCACTCGAATTATTTTCAAATTCCACTCATATAGAGTAAATTCTTCATTTTAAATCGTTGAAAATAAATGTATCCATTCGAAATTGACGAAATGCATCGGAACAAATTCACTATGATCAGTTAAATTTAATTAAATTGTATATAAATTAAATTAAATTGTATTGAATTAAACTGTACATCGATTAAATACATATTAAATTGAAGGTTGAATTGAAATCAATTAAATTTGTGTGAATTAAATTCAAAACCATTCGACTTGAGTGAAACGTTCACTCTTGTGACTCCGAGCGACAGAATTTTCACCATCGAGTGATTCGAGTGATTTTCATTTGTTTTGAGTGAGATTTCTGGGAAATTCTAAGAATGCTTCAAGACTTTCCAGCCATTCGCATTACCTGAACTTACGCTGATTGAACTTTTGCCTTTTCAGGAAGCCTTTTGCGGCGGAACATTGGTGTCTCCGAAATGGGTACTGACCGCAGCGCATTGCATCAGGAAACGTCTGTACGTGCGCATCGGAGAGCACGATTTGACGGTGAAGGAAGGCACGGAATTAGAGCTTAGGGTACGCGTCGCGATTACATAAGCTCATTGAACAATTGCGCGCCCTATCGACTAACATTGCGATTGCGTAGGTGGACTCCGTGACCATTCACCCAGAGTACGACGCAGATACTGTCGACAACGACATAGCTCTGCTTCGTTTACCAGTTACCTTGACCCCGTCCGCGTCAAAGGGAATTGCGTGTCTGCCTGCGCCGAAGCAGCCCTTGCCTACGAATCATTTGTGCACTATTATTGGCTGGGGCAAGTCCAGCGTGACGGACGACTTCGGCACAGATGTGCTTCACGAAGTCAGAGTAAGGGAGTTTCGGCACACATGAACAATCGAAAAATCTTTGAAAAAAAGAATTCTTAAAACATCCGTAAATATTAGAAAACTGAGAATCTGAAAAAAAAAAATAGTAATGACTACATCTTTAACATGTTAAGTGTCGAACGTGGCAGTCATCGGTGACCGGTGCGACAATACAATCATGTTTCATTAAGTTACGTATTTTCTAAATTCTTTGAAGTGGAATCTCGTTCGAAAAGTAAAACGAGTCGTTCGAATTCGAGTGACTTTTCATTTATTTAGAGCGAATTCCCCACTCTGAATCGTCGAGTGAAAATTTCCACTCGGGATTGGAGAATGAATCTGATATACTCCACTGTCATAAGAACATGTTTACTCCAGTCGAGTAGAGAGTATAAAGTTAATTACACAATTAATTGCACTTGAAAAAGCAATCGTATAGTCAATAAAGAGCTAATGAAATGAGATAAAAAGTTGTTGAAAACATGGTTTTCTCGGGACATATTTATTTATAGTAATTTTCATCTTTCAATCATCAATTAAGTTTTTGTATCAATCATTACGGCAATCACTACGGAAATCGACAAGGCAAGTCAAAGATAAGATAAAGAGAACATAAATGTGAAATATCTGATTTTAGGTTCCGATAGTGTCTCCCGAAACCTGTCGGGAGGTTTACGTGGACTACAGAATCACGGACAACATGTTCTGCGCCGGTTACCGCCGCGGAAAAATGGACTCTTGCGCAGGCGATAGTGGGGGACCTTTGCTCTGCAGAGATCCCCGGAAAGCCGATCACCCGTGGACGATTTTTGGTATCACTAGTTTCGGTGAGGGTTGCGGCAAACGTGGTAAATTCGGCATTTATGCCAGACTGCCGAATTACGTGCGCTGGATAACGCGAGTGATGAAGCAAGCGGACGAGTACATTTAGGGAGGCACCCAAAATTTTGGTTCTACTTGGTTTCTAACCGAACAGATTTCGTCGAACTCTGAACTGTCGATCGAGAACACTCCCTGTACAAGTTGTACCTGAGTCGAAATTTTGGAACTATATTAATCTTTTTCTCAATGTACGTTGATCTTTCAAGTTGAACAAAATGTACAGGAAGGGCGATTGACTAAAATTTGTAGAACCAACATTTTAGCTCGGCACTCGACGCGCATTGTAATTATAATTAGTGTTCGTGCGTAAATCAAGGATAAAAAGTAGAAGATATAACAGAAGATATAAACGGTCGTGATACGATTTTCTAATTATATTTCGACCTGTTATAAACCTGTTATAAAAGCAATCCGTAAAATTTGCGATATTAAATGTTTGAGAGCACTAAAACATAGGCTAATCGTGTTGCGATTTGCCATTACAATCGTTGAGTTGCTACACGACACACTTCGCTCTCTTCGGAGTCGCGTTTATGCCGTTTTGTATGAGAAATCGGGGAATGAAGTGTAATTTTTGCAAGAAATTAACGAAGTTTATAATACATACGTACGTGACTTGATTATCCATCACTTACCTCTTACGGACCGAACAACTGCTGACGATTACACGTGCTGACTCATATTATTGATAATACAATGCCGTGAGAAAGTGTTTATACAACTTTTATTTACTGAAACGCATAAATTCGGTGTAATTGTTAAAACATATCTTCCGTCGTCAATCGGTCGATCAGTTTATTTGAAAGATAAGAAAAAATGTAACATGTAAATTGTACGTTTACGTTAGCGTGCGATGCATATCTCCGTGTTGTCTCTGAAAATATAGGTGGATAAAGTACAAAAAACGGAAAGGGAGAGGACGAAGCGAATAAGAAAATAAACCGAAGAATGATTGGAACGGAATCTCTCGATCGACAGCAGAACTCTGTAGCTGGTGCTGTGGCCTAACACGGTGCTGCCATCTCCCGCAACCTTCGAAGCGCAATGTATGTTGCAATCGCGTTGACCTCTTCCTTCGGGTGTATCGGAACGTCGACGTTCCGATGATCACGAAAGAGCGAGACGCGATCGCAACGGTATCGACGATGCGGCATCCGGAATTTTAAGCGCGGTTAGCGCCTTGAATGATGATTCGTGCTCGGGTCGAGTTAATTGAATTTACACTTGGAGAAGTCCATCTCGGGATGTTGCTCCATGAATCTGGAAAATTGTCACGAATTACGTTAACGAAAGAAAGAGAGAGAGAGAGAGAGAACCCGGGCCGAGGCGAACGATGCGCGCGTGCGAAATGCCGGCAGATCCTACTTTTTGATAACGCCCTGCTTCTTCTGCTCGTCGGAAGTCGGTAGTCCGAGCTCCTTCTGCCTCTGATCGTACATCATCTTCTCCACGAGACCTCTCGTCTCGATGTCGAGGTCAGACAGTTTGCTGGGTTCGGGGTTCACTTCCTTCGTCCTGATTTCCGGCTCGCTCGTTATCACGTGCGCCCACCATTGCATCTTATTCACCTGCGAACAACGACAGATATCGTCTCGAAATATCGATATCTAATTATCTATTATGTGCGACGCGGTTCTCAGTAGCGGGTTGTAGGCAACGTTTTGCATCTGCACGTGATGTCACCGCACACTGAGAGAAAATAGATGTAAAAAGTGCGAACTATTTATTCGGCGGGTACTGATAACGTATTTGCTTATAACAATACACTTATTTTTACACTGAGAAAAAATTTCTCTCAAATGAGAAAATACACATCTTTTGCATCTGTGGTTTTTTTATCAAAGCAATTATTCGTTCCATTTGATAAAAGAATTTTGAGAGAGACTTAAGTAAAAATATTAACTACAAATATTAACATGACTGGTGACTAATTAAGGAGGAACGAAATAATGGCCAATAAGAGCCTAATTATGGCTGTTGGTGTAGCGACGTATATAAATTATTATCGCGGGAGAATATCAATGTTCATCGTATATTACGCGCGTATTGCAGGAACTTTTCAGACAAACGTGCGCGGCGACTCAACCTCCCACGAATGGGCCGGCCAACAGAACTTAAATCCCAGTAATTTGATTAATAATTTGATTAACTCTTTGAAAAACCTTTAGATATTTTTTTCTCCCAGTGCGTAACGTTAAGTAGTAAACTTCGTAAGACTGATTAATACAAGCACAGGTGGCTATATGGGATCCCACAATGTCTCGTCGGTATCCCGGGACAAATTGGAGCGCTCTGTATACCCGGCACAATCTAAAAATTGTCACGGGATATGTCGCAAATTAATTGCGACGTAATGCAATGTAAATAACCTGTTCAGCGGGACAAAGCGGCGGATAAAAGCCAGTGACGAGAGCGGCAATATCGCGCTGGACTAATCTGTTTACACGATAATCGGACGCGGCGGAATTAATTGGACCTTCGCTCGATTAAACGCTATATTTCGCGGGCTCGTCCAGGGACACACGTCAAGCCCGGCGAATTTGTTCGCCGATCGATCGCGCGTATCTCGAATCTCCATCTGCGACTGGGCGATGTTAGAACCGTCGGAATCACCGTTCCGGCAAGGCCGCGGATCGGCGAGGCCGCGAAAAAGCGCATTACCGACGGCGAGCGCGTGAACGCGTATGTGCCCACCGACTCACCTTTTCCAGATTAATCAGCAACACTTTCCCGTCCTCGATTACCCAAGTGGACTCCTCGAGTTTGACCTCGTTCGGGAAATCGCCGTCGAGGATCGGCGACTGGCCCTTCAGGCCGCAGCTCAGGTGCTTCTTCGCGATCGTCACCACCACGTCCCTCGATCGCACCGAAAAGCTCACCTTCAGCGGCACCCTAATCTGTAACGCGAGAAAACGGAATGCGCGTCAGCTCGAGCCGCGTGTCTCTCTTGTTCCGCAGCCTTCTGTCTTTAAAATGACTTTCACCAAACTCAGATTCAACCAATCGACGAATAATAATGAGAATCGCCAACGTCCAGTGATGTAACTTATCATTCAATAACGATCGGAAAGTTATTCCCTCCTATCTGCGTTAGAGCAAGATAGAGCGAGTTATGTTCGACCGGCAGCAATTTTCAATCGTCGATTACATTAATCAGAGTTCGGTGAAAGTCACTCTTCAGATCTGTTCTAGCTAGCTGCGATTTCGCAATTATTTCGCGCGATTTTCCCATCTTCCTTTCTCTCCCAACAAGCGTCAAGTATGTATCTATTTCGTTCCAAGTTCAGACTTACGACGAGACTGTCGGATAGTCAGATCGCCGATCTTATATTTAAGGTCGCCTTAAGTCCATCTTCAGACGCTTCGTAGCCAATGAAGTGAACCATACAGCGTCTGAAGATGAACTTAAGACGGTCTTATATATAAAACCCGACTATGAATACCTTTATGACGAATTTCGCGCGTCGATTTATTTCGGCAACGGCCGATGTTTGAGGTAATGACACGCCAAAAGCCCGCGCAGACCCCGATCGCGGACAATCGCGGTGCGCGCGCAATGAGAGAATGGATAGCATGATCGATCGATCGATCGATCGACCCGAGGGTGAGAATTATTCGCGGCGTTCTCCTCTACGCTGTTTTGTCCTTCTGCGATTACGATCTCACCGCGGCGATCTCGTCGTCATCATCGTGATCCAATTCACACAGCGACCTCGGCCACGGATTTCGGAAACGAAAAATCGCTATGACCTCAACGCGTACGCGGAGCGAAGGGTGAGGAGGGCCGGGGGGAGGGAGAGCCTTGAACGCTCGGGAGGATCGACGGCGACGAGAATCTCTCGAGCGCGAACCGTGGAGGATGAAAGATGCACCGTAACGATTCGCCAGGCGAAATGGCAAAGGTTCGCGGCATTCCTGGGATACAGCTCGTTAACCACGAAGAGTGCTCGCTTTAATTGACGGCAAGCATCCGCGGATCGGATCTCTGGGATCCGAGACTCCGGGTCATTGCCAGTTCGGCCGGGTCAAGAGTACACCGTCGCTCGAATGTGAACGTTCGTTCGCCTTACGCATAACGACGGCACTCGTTGTCTCGCGAGCGATCGCTTTTTCTATCGAGTCATCCGCGAGCGGGCCACCTGGCGACGCGCGATCGGCACGGCGCGATAGAGCCCGATCTCGGCGATTCACCGGCCGAAATTGCGCGACCGTACGCCGCGATTGTTCGCGAGATACGCGCCACGACGCCGGAACGTTGACGGACGATCAGCTGTTCGCGAACGCAGTCGTATGTGAGGCACAATTTTTCCCTCCGCTAGATACAGTCTGTCCGTCACGGAGAAAAAGGTTTCTTTACAGATTTAGCGATTCTATTTATTTGACGGGAATTTGTCTCGTAGAAACAATATATACGGAATATTATTCGCTTGAGTAAGAATTTCATTGTCTCATTCAAGAAAACTGGATTACTTCGCAGAAAGTACACTGTTATTTGAAATAATATCTTTTGATCAAATAAGATATTATTTGGTTACAATAAACATATAAAATGAAGCAAATAATTTCTTCATGAGAGAATCATCTTTCAATTATGTTTTAAAGTTACGTTTTAAAATTATCTTTCAAACGAATTTTTTATTTAAGGTAAGGATACACATTCGTTGAAGAGTCTAATAATCATACTTATCAATGGAAACATTAGTTTCTCTGGAGCATGCCAATGATGAAATTTGTTTGGGTGTAATAAAATTTATTAAATTTGAAGAAGTCTTTTTCTCAATGTGAGTCTTCTTAGTCCGCGAAAACTGTTAATTTGAGTAATTTGAAAGCGTACATTCGATCGAGTGAGTGCGATTCCGTTTTTAGGTCGAAAAGGGATATTTTTCTGTAATAACGAGTAGTTACAGCGAATTGTATAAGAGTATATTCGAATATTATTAACGCACTATTGAATATTTTTAAGCAGTAAACACGTACAGTGCTGTGTAAATTTGAGATGTGTAATCGTACATTCAGTTACGAGTACAAAATACTTATTTAACGCTCACTTTGCACATTTTGACATAGCACGAGTAAATGGGAGATTCTTTAACGTGCTTCTTTCCGTATTGAAACAAAACTGAATGAAGGAGGAAGTAAGCGTTAGCTCATCACCTGGAAAACGAGTATTGAAAACAAACGGAATTTCCTCAAAAATACTTATGCATACTCGCGTGTACTCGTCATATTCCTTCGCTTAATAAATCGTACACCGTGCAAGAAACGAACATAAAGATGATAAAGTTAAAAACGAGCCATATGAAGAATAAAAGCGGTGAAATATTTTTGTAAAAGCACCTGGGATAATTGTCAATATTATTGTCAATATTAAAAAAACGTCAAGAATGTTAAAAATACAACTATTCAAGAATCTCCGATACCTCATTTACGGTTCTGCCATTAAATCAATGATCTGCCATTAAATCAATTAAACAACAGTAATAGAACGAGAAGATACGAGTAGAAACGAAGTTTCTACGCGTCGGCACCAGTAAAGGTATAATAAGAGATAATCTCAGAATTCTTGATCTCAATATTATTGATTATCCTGACATATTAACGATATTGGGAATAAAGTGAACAGAGTCCTATATAAATTACGACTAATTAGGCATCCTTTATTGGTGCCGACGCGTAGAAACGAAGTTTCTACTCGTATCTTCTCGTTCTATTACTGTTGTTTAATTATCATTGATTTAATGGCAGAACCATAAATTAGGTATCGGAGATTCTTGAATAGTTGTGTTTTTAACATTCTTGACGTTTTTTTCTTAGCATTCTCGACGTGACGAGCGTGTCAGTCATTCTCATCTCATTATGCGCCTTAGGCATTCATTATCTTTGCTATTTTTGTAACTTGTACTTCTTATTCTAATTTCTTTACTCTCAGCTGTTCTCTTTCCTCCTTTACTCCGTTTTTCTTTTCTTTCTCTTACAGCGTCTATACATTTATGTTGTATCGTATTTATCGTTCCTACAAGATTTATCCTCAAGTATAATAAAGCAAATTTTATTCTATATCTTCCGGTTTTGTCGCCGAGGATATTCGTTCCGGTTCGAATCACGAAGCGGCCGCTAAAATTCATTAACATATTCGCATATATCCTCCGATTGAGCGGTGTGTTTATCCGGTGCGTGCACGCGCACACACACACCTGTGTGTGTGTGTATGTTTTTCGTATATGTATGTATTCGCACGTCGTCTATATTTCAATTCCGATTCCGCGGAAGGCACACACTCAACCGGCCGACCGGCCGAGAACATTTCTTGACATTATTACGTATGCAAATACCGCTGCATTATCTTGAACCTTACCTCGAAATTCTTTTTTCTACTTTATATTATTCAAATGACAAGGTAAGGTCTCTCATGTATCTGCATAATTGCTCTAACATCGAGCCGCGGCGAGCCGGCTGTCAGTGGCGTTTTGTTTTCTAAACGACGCCGCCGATACATTCCTTTTCGGTTCAATCTGCGATTTAGCGTGCGTTTCGACACGTGTTTACCGTGTTATTTAACGTCCACCAGGGATCTTCCCGGTTAGTACTCTCCGCTGCTCTCGACGACGTCGCACTCGAACGTTGCGTCGTCATTTCGTCTCCATACGGGGAGCAATGAAATCGTGTCGCATCGCGGAGATGATTATTTTCACGGGCGTTCTTAGATTTCCAACACGACGACGACGGGGCCGATGACGATGGGGCCGACGACGGTGAAGACGACGATGACGACGACGCCGACGACTACGAAGATAGCGACGTCGAAGCCGGGCGCACCGGTGCGTGGAAACGGATCATGGCTACCGACTTTACGTCCGGCGTTAACATAGTGGAATATCATTATAAAAGCGGCAACAGGAGGAGGAGGCGAGGAAGAAGACGGTCGTAGCATTTAAGGTCGCCGCCGCCGGCTGTGCCGAGGTCTAGTCTGAGAGAAAGAGAGAGAGAGCGAAATAGACTGTGACGTTGTGCGCTTTAACGATCTCGCTGGTATATAATGATGTTTAATCGCTTATGCCGAACGGACGGATACATCGATGTTTGTTGTTGTGGTCTCTCGATCACGCAGAGAAACGTGTGTGCCCGCGGCTGCAGCCATGGCGGGTTGACCGAATTCCGTAAAATTCCATTCCTCCGCGCGCGTGCACATTAATAACACGGCGCGCGTATACCGTAAAATAATCATAATAACACATCGACATTAAAGGTGACCGTGCGCGAGCGATCGCTTATTACAACCCACGTAGAAAAGGACGATGGATAAAATAGGCCGACTGTGGCTCCCGGAGCGGCAAGACGGCATGTCTTTCTTTTTTTTTTTCGTAGTTCTGAAACTCCTGAACCTGATTCTGACTTTTAACAATTTTTAATTCGTCAGGAAAATGTTAAAATCAGCATATGAAGCTATTAAAAATATAAGAAGCAGTTATGAGAACAGAATTCAAAAAGTTCTACGAAACGACTTTGAGATAAGAATTAGCAAAAAGAAAAAAAACTCGACCAGTAGACCGGTATGTTATTTAATGTATTAAATACAAGCACTTAACAGCCGTCTTCTTTGATGGCTCTTATTATCGAGTTTTTTTCTTTTTAACGAGAACGGTATGTTAGTAAACGAGTATCAAGCTATATTGAAATAAACAATATTGAGAATCAATCAATATGTTAACAACATAAAATCAAAAGTGAAAATCAATCAATATATTAACAACATAAAATAATAAATAAAAAAGGTCTTATTCGGTCAAAGCGGGTCTTACAAATCTTTTTTTGCGTAAATCTTACAATATCCAGTAATAAAATACTATAATAGTAAAATAATTTTAATAAACGGAAATTTATATATTATATATAAAAG